AATAGCGTGTTGGCGAGCTGCATCCTGACTTCAACGCAGTAACAAGTATCGAAATAAGATATTATGAATCATGACTTATCCCAGCTAACTTGGTAAGTTAAATTGATATAAAATAAATGCTATATTTGTATAGTTTTGAAGGGAATAAATAATTCCTGGTGCGTCATTTCGTACAGACTACGTACTCGTAAATGAATAAAGGGTAATGATGCAATTGGGTAACTCCTAGATGCTTGTTTGCATTTGGAGCGTGTTTTCCATTCCATTTTCTTTGTTTTATAAAAAGTGGATTTTCTAGAAAAGGTTATCTGTGGAAATTGCAGTATGTAAAACCAGTTGGATGTGACTCTTTCGTGACGTATTGGCCACAATTATATAAATAATATGGAACATTCAAAAGAGTTTAAAAACGCAGGAAATCTTTTTCTGTGAGTATGATCGTAGGATATGTTTTACGCTAACCCTTATGCGACGTAATGTAATCTACACAACTTTCCTGAGGAGATAGAAAATGAGGTTTCTTTCAATCTGAATAGTTTTTGAAAATCTTAAGAAAGTATATGCTTACATCAAGAACGTTTAAAATTTTATTTTTCTTCTTTTTCCGAGGGATGACTTTTGCCGATTGACAGAATCACACAGTATTCATGCAATGGTGTTGTTATTTGCACAATCTCGGCTGTCTCCTTTCTTTGGTAATGGAATAGTTATAGTGCGTTGCAAATCTGTGGTTCACTGTTTTATTTTCCAGATCACATTGCATAATAGTGTTAGTTTCGCCAAGATATCTTCCCTCTGTATCTTTGAATAGTTCGATTTGAATATTCTCTACAGCCGGGGACTTCTCATATTTCAGTGGTTTTGATGCCCAATGCATTTCTTCTATCTCTGGTTCTTCTTCGTAATCATCTATATTTATCCACTACTCTATTTGTAAGTCCTTCTCATATAAATTTTTCGCGTATTCTTCCCATCTTTTGGTGATCTCTTCTTTTGTTGTACATATATATATATATATATATATATATATATATATATATATATATAACGAGAAGATTAAACACGTACACATAAAATTAAATAAACTGGATTAATGTGTTAATTTTTGGAACCCCAGGGAATACAATGAACACGCAAAACCATATTGAACAATCAGAACAACAAAAAAAAGGCACCTTTTCTCCTTAATATTGTCGCATTTGAATATTTATTCATTTTATGGTTCTCGTAAACTTATTAATTTTTCTGTTGAATTTCTGTTATTTAAATAAACTCGTGAATTGAAAAAATCTTCAATTTTCTGT